TGTAAACAGAGTGGTAGACGGTTGGAACAAGTTAGGTGAGAAGGTGGTGGAGGCCAAGACCGTCAGTAGTTTCAAAGCGTTATATGACAAAGAGTGCTGGGAAGACGGGACACCACGAGCGTAGCTCTCATCCTGTAACTACACTTAGGTAATTACACATACACACAGGAAGCAGCCCGTAACAGCTGTAACTTCCAGGTACCTATTTACTGCTAAGTAACAGGGGGCATCAGGGTGAAAAATTCTGCCCATTTGTTTTCCGCCATCGCAGGGGATCGAACCCGGACCCAAGGATTACGAGTCCAAAACGCTGTCCACTCAGCCACAGGCGCCGTCCCCAACCTGTGCATGTCTGTCTAGGTGTGCTTGTGTGGACGTGCATGCGTGCATACGTGTGCGCGTGTCTATGCTGAAGTATGAGAACGCTCAATTTACACCATGTTTTCCCTATGACGTAGAAGCGGCGTCCTCATATTTCAACCGCGAGAAAGTTGCCCGCTACATTAACTTGGGAAAGTTAAGCACCTCAACTTTGAGAGTGTGTGCTTTTCGTGTCCTGGCGCTCCGTAATGGCTGTCGCCTCCCAACTTGCTCAAGGCGGCCACAACTCTTCCCGCCTTATATGGCCGCCCTCCCTCCCAACACCGCACGCATCCACGGCCGAGCGAGCGGACCGACGGGCGAGCGGGCCGACGGGCGAGCAAGCGAGCGGACCGACGGGTGAGCGAGCGGGCGGGAGGCCGGGCGAGTGGTCGGGCGGGCTCGGGCGGCCGCGGGCGGGCGGGCAGTGACTAGGCAAAGTAGCACCATTAGGTTATGTTCGTTTGGAAATTAAAAGTTCAGAGTGTAATAGTCAACAAAGTACAATCCGGAGCATCCATTGTGACACGCTCAGTGCCCCCGAGTACTGTGCTTGCTCCAGTAATTATCAGCCCCATATCGGACACAGACAAGCACACTCTGTAGCACCTCCAAACTTATGTAAATCAGGACTTTCAGTTGCCACAGGAAATAATACGTTTAATGAAGATTGGGTCCAGCCCATGCGCTATGGAAAATATCAAAATTTAAACTACATAAAATGCAGTCAAATCGCTTCAAATGTAATCATTTTAATCAAATTTCTTCAAAACATCATTGTGTGATTACCTGAATTTACTAAAATTTTAGACATTAATATTTATAAATTGTATTAATTATAATTTACCTGGGCGTAATCCTAGGTGAGAACAGTTGGAGCTGCGGTAATTATACCAACCTAGAGTATGGCCACCTGGCTGCTGGCCGCCCGGGTCACCATGCAACCCGTTCTCGCAAATTCGTAAAGTCAATATTGACTTATTAACTACGTGCATAGGTGATATACTAAACATAATAGATACCCTTAAAAAGATTCATAGAAAACACCGACCTTACCTAACCTTGTTAGTATCTTAAGATAAGCATCTTATTGCTTCGTAATTACAATTATTACTTAACCTATACCTATTATAGGTTAGGTAATAATTGTAATTACGAAGCAATAAGATGCTTATCTTAACATACTAAGTAGGTTAGGTAAGGTCGGTGTTTTCTATGAATCTTTTTAAGGGTATCTATTATGTTAAGTATGTCACCTATGCACATATTTAATAAGTCAATATTGACTTGTTAAATTTGCGAGAACGGGTTGCTGGTGCCTTCACTCAACTGTAGAGAATGACAGCTGGCGTCCCCAGCCGACACTCAGACCTCAAGACGGCTCCTTCACACACTACTTTATCCCTCGGTGTTGTGCATGTTGTCTTAGTGCTTGTCTCAAACTTTATTGTATTGTATGTACTGCCTCTATCATTAAATCTAACAATGTTTGTACTGTAACGCTGCAACTATGTATGTACTGTTGCTAAATAAATTATTATTATCCTCTTAGTTCTCTGCTCACGCATGCCATACAATAACAAATTCACGTTGTAATTAATTCTCACTAGGCTTCCCCTGAGCGTGAAGTTGGTGTTGAGTGAAGTTGACCGATATACTCATACTAGCTGGTACTAGCTGATACTACTGATACTTGCTGACACTAGCACTTCACTACGGCATCTCGCTCACTAAAATTAAATTTTCACACTGGTTAGCGTTCGTTCATTCTCCACAGATAACCTACGCTAGCTGACATTGGTTTCATTCACTGGTGTCCACACTCGCTAGTTTCTCACTATTACTATGTCGGCCGACGGTGTACACGCCTATAATTATTATATCTGCGGCAGGACCCCATCATGGACTCCTGCCAAGCGAGGACTCTTAGACTCAACCGGTCGCCTTAAGGCTCCAGCACAAGCCTCTTTCACGGTCTAAAACCCCAGTTCAAGTCCCCCTCATGGTCTAAGGCTTGCTTTCCACGACTTATACACTCCCTACAATATACCTACCGACCGTAGCCGCGGGTTACACCACTCAGGTGGAGGCCTGCGCCTCCCTACAGTCACACACGACGACTGATAAACTCGCGCTAAAACCCACACCGGCGGCGGCCATGTTGCTAGGCGACAGCCAATCACATGCCTTCTCTCGGGACGTTATTTTGCCCGCGAGTCAAACACGGATTTGATTGGTCCTCTTCACCCAATAAAACTATTATTAAATTAGTATTATTAAATTTTATTATTTAATTTGTATTAAATTATTAAGTTATTACTTAATTTAATGATAATATTTTAACTATTATAATTTCGTGGTAGGACGTTGCGTTTTCTTCTACCTGGAGTGAAACAGATTCAATTAAGAGGGAACATACCCAGACCAGGGGCCAAATTCACGAAAGCACTTACGCAAGCACTTACGAACGTGTACATCTTTCCTCAATGTTTGACGGCTTTGGTTACATTTATTAAACAGTTTACAAGCATGAAAACTTGCCAATCAACTGTTGTTATTGTTATAAACAGCCTCCTGGTGCTTCGGAGCTCATTAACTGTTTAATAATTGGAAACAAAGCCGCCAAAGATTGAGAAAAGATGTACAGGTTCGTAAGTGCTTGCGTAAGTGCTTTCGTGAATCTGGCCCCAGGACTTTACGATACGCCATTACCTCGGCCCCCTGGCCACTAAGCAACGACAAATAATCAACTCTACAATGAAATAACGAAATAATGAGTGCAAGATGTGTAACTGTATATCAGTGATAACGAATGAGTAGAAGTACACTTACATCGCATCAGGCTTGGATACCCATGTGCATGGGAAATATTCTTACAGGTTCCGGAAGATGAGAGGAAATGTCAGCACTGTGGAGAAATGCCCGACACACCACTGGAACATTATCTAACACAGTGCACAGTTACAGCCACAACAGACCACTGGAACATTATCTAACACAGTGCACAGTTACAACCACAACAGACCACTGGAACATTATATAACACAGTGCACAGTTACAGCCACAACAGACCACTGGAACATTATCTAACACAGTGCACAGTTACAGCCACAACAGACCACTGGAACATTATCTAACACAGTGCACAGTTACAGCCACAACAGACCACTGGAACATTATCTAACACAGTGCACAGTTACAACCACAACAGACCACTGGAACATTATCTAAGACAGTGCACAGTTACAACCACAACAGACCACTGGAACATTATCTAACACAGTGCACAGTTACAACCACAACAGACCACTGGAACATTATCTAACACAGTGCACAGTTACAACCACAACAGACCACTGGAACATTATCTAACCAGTGCACAGTTACAGCCACAACAGACCACTGGAACATTATCTAACACAGTGCACAGTTACAGCCACAACAGACCACTGGAACATTATCTAACACAGTGCACAGTTACAGCCACAACAGACCACTGGAACATTATCTAACACAGTGCACAGTTACAACCACAACAGACCACTGGAACATTATCTAACACAGTGCACAGTTACAGCCACAACAGACCACTGGAACATTATCTAACACAGTGCACAGTTACAGCCACAACAGACCACTGGAACATTATCTAACACAGTGCACAGTTACAACCACAACAGACCACTGGAACATTATCTAACACAGTGCACAGTTACAGCCACAACAGACCACTGGAACATTATCTAACACAGTGCACAGTTACAGCCACAACAGACCACTGGAACATTATCTAACACAGTGCACAGTTACAGCCACAACAGACCACTGGAACATTATCTAACACAGTGCACAGTTACAGCCACAACAGACCACTGGAACATTATCTAACACAGTGCACAGTTACAGCCACAACAGACCACTGGAACATTATCTAACACAGTGCACAGTTACAGCCACAACAGACCACTGGAACATTATCTAACACAGTGCACAGTTACAGCCACAACAGACCACTGGAACATTATCTAACACAGTGCACAGTTACAGCCACAACAGACCACTGGAACATTATCTAACACAGTGCACAGTTACAGCCACAACAGACCACTGGAACATTATCTAACACAGTGCACAGTCACAAACCCATTAAGATTTCAACTTAGATTCAACAGAGCAGAAGAAGTTGTTAAACACATATGGCAAAAATCTTACTGAAGCGACCATACGAGTCATAAATACTCATACTCCGCCCAAGTAAAACAGAAACAAGCAACACTTAGTGGGCCAGCCAGAGGCTTAGGGCCCGCCCAGTGGGCCAGCCAGAGGCTTAGGGCCCGCCCAGTGGGCCAGCCAGAGGCTTAGGGCCCGAGCAGGAATATCCATGAAAAAAAAAAATAAGTCAATTGAATTGCAGCAAAATAGGGTTGGATGCAGCATGGCGCCTTGAATCATGGGAAAGAGCAGCATGTCGTCTCACACATACCACAACCGTCTATCCATCCTCAACCACCATCCACCAGATTAAACCCCCCAACCAACCCCCATCCACCCTCCACACTGGCTAGGCTACCCCACACTGGCTAGGCTACCATGCTAAACGACCAACGCCACGGAAGCCACCTACAGATATACCAAGCCTAATGCCATATCCTCCACACTGGCTAGGCTACCACACTAAACGACCAACGCCACGGAAGCCACCTACAGATATACCAAGCCTAATGCCATATCCTCCACACTGGCTAGGCTACCACACTAAACGACCAACGCCACGGAAGCCACCTACAGATATACCAAGCCTAATGCCATATCCTCCACACTGGCTAGGCTACCACGCTAAACGACCAACGCCACTGAAGCCACCTACAGATATACCAAGCCTAATGCCATATCCTCCACACTGGCTAGGCTACCACACTAAACGACCAACGCCACGGAAGCCACCTACAGATATACCTAGCCTAATGCCACATCACCCATCCTCCAAGCCTGTCTTGGTCCCGGAAAGTCCACGTGAGCTGGTCAGAGCTGCCAACCCTCAGGAGAGCTGCATCACAGCACGGGGCAAAGGACGGTCTCGACAACCTTGGCGTCACGATTCTGTGTGTTATAAAGGCTATGATAGATGTGTTTCTGCGGTAAATGTGTGTGTGTGTACTCACGTAATTGTGCTTGCGGGGTTGAGCTCTGGCTCTTTGGTCCCGCCTCTCACCTGTCAATCAACTGGTGTACAGGTTCCTGAGCCTATTGGGCTCTATTATATCTACACTTGAAACTGGGTATGGAGTCAGCCTCCACCACATCACTGCCTAGTGAAGTAAGAGTGTGAGTGTGAGTGTGAGTGTGAGTGTGTGTGTGTGTGTGTGTGTGTGTGTGTGTGTGTGTGTGTGTGTGTGTGTGTGTGTGTGAGACACGTGCGCAAACAATTTGACAGAAAATGAGGGCAGTAATCAGAGGAAATATATCAGTGCAGAAGTGTTACGGGTGGAGTTCCTCAGGAGTTCTCTTGTAGAGCACCGCAATCCCCCCCCCCCGCCCCCCCTTACATCCAGAATAGATAGTACAGTACTCACGGCGACTATTGGTGAAACGTTCGAATATTGATTATTGTACCCCAAAAGTTTACATTTCGTAATATTGGAACACCACTAAGGCGATGCTAGAGCCTGAAACATTAACTATACAACTTAACGTGCCCTAGGCCTAATTAAGCAATGTTAGGCTTAACATTCACCATTATAGGCCTACTTTACTATATATATATATATATATATATATATATATATATATATATATATATATATATATATAATGCTATAGCAGACCTGGGGAGGTTCAGGTTGGGTTGTTGCCTTTTTGCCCGCGCAATCTACAAAATTAATAGTATAAAACATGATTTTTTCCATATATATATCTTCTTATCAGTACAATTTGCGCCCCCAGCCTGTCTTCCTTCATCCGTGCTCACTCTCACCTTCTCTCCCATCTCCCCCTACCATTATTATGCTCCTTAATCTCTTCCTTAATCTTCGCAACACATCCTTGTAATCTGGACGATGTTGACTCTGCAACACCACGCTCCCTCCTGCCTCTCTGAAGCCTCCTACTGGAGGAATGCGTCGGCCGCTTCTTTCTCAGTGACGCATGGGGGGGGGGGAAGAAGAAGGGGCCTCCCCCCCTTACCACCCTCGGGGGAAGATTCACGAAGCAGTTACGCAAGTACTTACGAACCTGGAGCCAGATTCACGAAGCAGTTACGCAAGTACTTACCACCCTGGGGCCAGATTCACGAAGCAGTTACGCAAGTACTTACGAACCTGGCGCCAGATTCACGAAGCAGTTACGCAAGTACTTACGAACCTGGAGCCAGATTCACGAAGCAGTTACGCAAGTACTTACGAACCTGGAGCCAGATTCACGAAGCAGTTACGCAAGTACTTACGAACGTGTACATCTTTCCTCAATCTTTGACGGCTTTGGTTACATTTATTAAACAGTTTACAAGCATGAAAACTTGCCAATCAACTGTTGTTATTGTTATAAACAGCCTCCTGGTGCTTCCCAGCTCATTAACTGTCTAATAATTGTAAACAAAGCCGCCAAAGATTATTAAACAGTTATTGAGCTCGGAAGCACCAGGAGGCTGTTTACAACAATACCAACAGTTGATTGGCAAGAGGCCTAAGCCTCTGACTTGCGCACTAAGTGTTACTCGTTTCTTAAGCGGTGGATGAGTATTTATGACTCTTATATTGGCTATAGTAAGATTAAGTCAATGTGTTTAACAACTTGCTCTATGCTGGTAAATCTCAGTTGAAAACTTATTGGGATTGTAAGGGTTGAACAGACCACACACTAGAAGTTGAAGGGACGACGACGTTTCGGTCCGTCCTGGACCATTCTCAAGTCGATTGTGAGATTGTGGGATTGTAAGTGTTGATTGTGTTAGGTAATGTGCCAGTGGTGTGTCGGGATAAGCATCTTATTGCTTCGTAATTACAATTATTACTTAACCTATACCTATAATAGGTTAAGTAATAATTGTAATTACGAAGCAATAAGATGCTTATCTTAACATACTAAGAAGGTTAGGTAAGGTCGGTGTTTTCTATGAAGCTTTTCAAGATAAACTAGTATGTTTAATATGTCACATATGCACGTATTTAATAAGTCAATATTGACTATACGAAAGTGCGAGAGGGCATTCCTCCACAGTGGCGACATTTGCTCTTCAGGAACCTGTAACCATGTATGCCATACACACAGGTCAGTGGCAGTTGTCAAGTCTGTATGATAACGTGATGTCGGTGCTTAGCAAGAGCCGGCCCAGCAAGAGCCGAAAACCCAGCGGGTTTTCTTCCTATTGGGGAGTGTTGTACATTCTGCTATGGCGGTATGTTCACTCACAAGATGAGTGGCGCTGCCCAATAAACTCGCCCCTCGGGGCAAAATTTACAATTTAAAATTTAGCAAGAGCCTTTTGTTTAGCCAGCAAGATCCGTTTTAACGTATTGTGAATTAGAAATACGTTTGTCCTTATTCATATTTAAATATTATACATTAAAGCTCTATGTATAGTTAGGTGTAGGTAAAGTTTGCTGTTTAGGTTCTGTTGCCGATTAATTATATTTAAAGTACGTGGGTGAAGCATTTACAAACTAATTTTAATATATACGAACCTACGAACTTCAATATATAATAACTTATATATGAGAGCAAACCTATTTTTTAAGAGACAATACGTTAAAATGAATGCATGGGTCTTGGGGGGGGGGTATGGCAGGAGCTTTAACGACCCTGGCATGAGGAGAGGTTGAGACAAGGTAAAGCATGCCATAAACACCACCTTTAAACAGACACACACAACACTTGCCGCCAGGTGGAGCGACACACACATCTGGGTTATAGTAGAGAGAGTGGCTTGTGTAGCGTGGTTATCTTGAGGTTATCTTGAGATGATTTCGGGGCTTTTAGTGTCCCCGCGGCCCGGTCCTCGACCAGGCCTCCACCCCCAGGAAGCAGCCCCTGACAGCTGACTAACACCCAGGTACCTATTTACTGCTATGTAACAGGGGCATAGGGTGAAAGAAACTTGGCCCATTTGTTTCTGCCTCGTGCGGGAATCGAACCCGCACCATAGAATTACGAGTCCTGCGCGCTATCCACCAGGCTACGAGGCCCCTTCGTGGTGTGTACAAGGTGGACCTGGCCTCCCAGATATCAACCAGAGGCAAGAGTAATGACACACATTGTGTACCTATCTCACTCCTCTGTGACCGTCAAGACTGGCCCTACAGTGGTCGACCCTGCTCCCCCATCCCTCCCCATCCTCCCCACAACCTTTACAACGTCCACACATCCCCCCAACCCACAACACAATGTTCCCCGCCTCTGCACGACTCATCTGCCTTCTCTCCTCTACAGCTGCTGCCCCATCACTACTCTCCTCTACAACACACCCCATCACCACCGACTCCCATCCCACCATACCCATGCCCCAAGCCCACTACACCCCCCACGAATCTAACTTCTACCCCTCACTTCCTCCCATGTAAATTCGTCCTCACGTTAACACGCCCACAACTCCCCCGCCCCCTCCCCCCCCCCAGCAACCCCCCCGCCCCCTCACCCCCCCAGCAACACCCGCCCCTCCTTCCCCGCCCCCCTCCCCCCCCCAGGAACCCCCTCCCCACCACATTTATCTTCTACTTTGAATCGATTCCCACCTCTCTCTCTACTGCTCTCCCCCTTCCATATCCCCCTCCCCCCTCCCTCAATATCCATCACCCCCTCACTCCAAGTACCCCTGCCCCCCCACCACAACCCCCCCCCTACCTATCACCCCCCTCTCCTATTCTCCACGCTCCGGCATGCTCCCAGACGCTCAATATGCTCTGAGCATCAAGAGTGGCTGGCACGTCGTCTCTCTGAGGGCAGGTGATTGGTGGTGGACTGGTCATCAGTAGTCATGACTCCGACACAGCCGGACTCTAGAGTCTGAACCCGTGTTCCTGTATCAGCAGTAGTCGTAATGGCACGCGGTGTCTCTCATATGGCCTCCCGAGGGCCATATGGGCCACATGTGTCATCATGAGGGCCACACATCACAACTGAGGGCCCCCCCGAGGGCCATATGTGTCATCATGAGGGCCACACACCACAACTGTGGCCCCCCCGAGGGCCATACGGGCCACATGTGTCATCATGAGGGCCACACACCACAACTGAGGGCCCCCTGAGGGCCATATGGGCCACATGTGTCATCATGAGGGCCACACATCACAACTGAGGGCCCCCTGAGGGCCATATGGGCTACATGTGTCATCATGAGGGCCACACATCACAACTGAGGGGCCCCCGAGGGCCATATGGGCCACATGTGTCATCATGAGGGCCATACACCACAACTGAGGGCCCCCGAGGGCCATACGGGCCACACGTCATCATGAGGGCCACACACCACAACTAATTACAGTTATTTAATCAAAAATTATTTTCAGACTACTTTTATTAAACTTAGAAACTTACAATGCATATACAAATGGTTAAGTAGCGAGCCACATACATGAATGCAAAGTAATAAAGTAATTTAACAAAAGAAACAACTAATTTTAAACAACAAACTTCTTTGCAAGAACAACAAATACATTGTACAAAAATAAGATTCCAAATGAACATTTATTTACGCCCACTCAATCATTTTTAACCCAGCCACTTGGGCTGGACGGTAGAGCGACGGTCTCGCTTCATGCAGGTCGGTGTTCAATCCCCGACCGTCCACAAGTGGTTGTGGCCACCATTCCTTTCCCTCCGTCCCATCCCAAATCCTTATCCTGACCCCTTCCCAGTGCTATATGGTCGTAATGACTTGGCGCTTTCCCCCCTGATAGTTCCCTTCCCTTCAATCATTTTGAGTTATTTGTCCTGAGGTTTGACACGTTTCTAGTGATAATTTTGGCTATGGCTGTTAAATGACCAATTATGTAGGATCGTTTGTACGGACCGCCGGCGTGCTGGGAAGGGACGCATGCGGCCACCATGTTGGACCTGCCTGGTTTACACTATGTAGAGTTTACACTATGTGTATTTCATACATAAACAATTGTTTTCATTCATATAAACTTCATCAAAAAGATAT